AGAGTGTGCTATGAAACGTTCTTGGGGCTTCTCTGGTTCTCTTTCCCGAACTCCAGTGAATATTGTGCGAAGTTTATTGAGTTCGCCAGCCATGGTAGGGCCCTTCCCAGTCTTCTTCTGCTTGGTACGTGCCTTCTTTTCGAGAAACGATGGCGGTTCAGTATTGGATTCAAAAGTCTGGAAGGGATGGTACTCTTCATGACATCCTTCGGGCTGTTCGCAAGTGCTCTGAAAGATGTGGCCTGCAAGATCAAGCTGCTCGTTGTTGCCCGACTTGAGACACAAGGGGCGGAATACCCTTTGAATGATATGCAATTGTCTCTCCAAGAACTGCCTCAAAGTCTGCGGCGATTTGAACAAGGATCAGGACTCCGCATACCGCATTTCCTGCAGAAGAAACAACACACACCTTGAACACAAAGCCGGACCAATAACAAATGCTTCGCTTTCTTCTCATCGGGAACGAATATGCCTGTATCTAACCGGCCGTATCATAAAAAGGCGCAAGGCAGAATTGTATGTTCTGACGTGGACTCATGTGGGGGGCGTTGGCCGAAACAGGCCTTCTTATTTGGCAAAGCAGAGCATAAACCCGCCTCGGAATGCAGGATCGTGCCGCCATGAAGCCCCTCATCTAGGGGAAAGTATGACTGGACCGGATGGCAGCTGTAAGCTCCGAAGCATGGAGATATGCAGAACCACAAGAAGCAAGTCACTAAGACTCATGGAGCGTCTCCGTGGTGGGGACCCAACGCAGTCTCAGCAGTGTGACGCCACAAGCGACAAGCCAGCACCCATGACACAGCAGTTCGCGAGTGGCAAAAAGATGTGCAGCACAAAATCCTTCTGGTGTAGCATCAAACCACCATGTGCACACCGAAATTAGTCTCCTCCCTTCCGATTGTAGCAAATTCTCTGTCATGCTCGTCCGATACCGTCGACTATCGGGCTCTGATTCATTTGTCTCATCGACCGGTCGAAGGAAAACTCATCCACTGATTTCTTGACAGAGGTTTCTCTCGCTGCATGCTCAACACATTCCTCTTTGTCCGTCGTTGTACCTGCAAAAGCACGGCCAGACGGTGGAGAAGCGGGTACATGGTCACGCATGAGCGGAGGAACCCTACACATACATGTATGCATGTCTGCCCAAACATGCATTTTCGCTCAGAGTGGTGTCCATCAGGCGTGGGCTGCCATCAAATCAGTTTGAACGGGCTCCACAGCTAAGCTCGGTGGCCGTCAGAACATCGAAGTACGTACAATCGCGGTCGATTTGTTTCACCAATGGTCGGTTGAGCACACTGGCCCAGTCCCTGATTTGATGATGACGTGCAGCTGCGGGCACAGCTCATGCACTGTCGCTCTCCGAGCATGGGCTAGACGGATGATACGCGTGTCCGAGCGAACATTGAAGAAAACTTGAGTGGAACAGGAGCTTGAGCTTCCCATGTCCGGGTACCGAAGACTTCTTTCTGACCGGAAGATACCTTGGAAATGGGGGTTTGTGAAGCCAACAACCCTACCCACTTGATTGCGTCGTGACCCAATGGTTCGCGGCGTCCTTATCAGCTTTATCATTCACTCACCTCACCCCTGCAATGAGGAAAGTCGATACCACAGCTAACCGTCATCATGTGGGAGACTGGACTTCTGAATAATTCTATCCTGTACGGCGACTTTTTCTAATGCGTGCGTCGAGCACAGCCTCCAATTTATTGCTATGTTGCAAAGACCCTTGGAAGGATTCAAGGCATGCTACTAGTTCTGTCACGACGAAGGGGCTCAGAGGCACCCCCGATGCGTCAATCGGTAAGACGGAATGGTGGAGTAATGGGGGCCGGAGTGACGACTGACCACGGATATTTTGTTCCAAGGTGACCTGAGATAGATGACATCTGCCGTATGCCCCTCTGGGAATCCTTGATTGGATCAATCTACAACGGAAACTGACCTGTGAGATGGTGACCTGAAAGCCGGAATGCGATTGAATGCTTGTTTAGGTGCTTCTCTCTCGAGAAACTGGTCCCCACTCAATAGATGGCAGATGGGCATGGCGTCAGAAAGAACAAGATTCGGAATTGCCGACCTTTCCCAGATGACAATGCCGCTGTGTATCATCTACAGCATCAGACGGCAGTTCAAGGCATGGTCTCGTTGTAAGATATACCGGCTTTTGTCGCAGCCTTCTCTTTCTGGGTGTGAAAGAATCACACAAGACCGTTAGCCAACCAGCAGGAATGGAATGCAGCCGGCAGTACGGTTCTGCCTAAGTGGCGCCTGCATGGGGAGCAGCTTATCACATCGCCAAGAGGCTGATTGGTACGCGAACTGCCATACATGCCCGGATTCAGAGAGGAATGGATGGTCAGAGAGAGGCTGTGCGGGGTATGAGCATCAGCTGCTACCTGCGCAGTCCCAACATATATCTCAGTCTGGACTCGCATTGCGGCCCTTGCCAGATCCACGGGATGTCCCAACAGAACCTTCTACCTCATTCCATCATGGGCCTTCACGAGAGCACAGCTTCCATTCCTGAGCATAGTCTCTTGGATGACCTCATCAAGGCCAAAAAGAGATGTTTGATCACCGAGCACGAGTACATCCCCCCAGATGCGATACGTGTCTACATCACGCCTGAAAGGGTTAAGAAGGAGCTGCCAAACACCTGGGGTCGATGGCTGCTGCCGTGCTGGGATTGGAACCTTGAGGACACAGTCCAGCAAGCGAGCAAGGTCATCGCAATCCTGGTTCTTCTTGACAGGCTGGATTGTATTGACACGCTGCTGGCCGACGGGCTATGTGACAACGATCTTCCTTTATCAAAGAAAGGTGATGTCATTTACTCCGCATGCAACGACAAAGGGCCAATTTGGGCATTCAAGAGATGTCAGGGAATCAACTTTCCAAATAGGTTTCTACGGAATCAGTGGATGGTCTGGGTGCCGCAGGTGGGCGTCAACCCCGATCAGACTATTAAGCTCCCCATTTCTGGGCCACATGGCCTGCCCTTTGACTGCACCGAGGCGGATGCGACGAAGTACAGCATCGTTTACAAGGCAGAACTCTGGCCGTCACATCAGGTGGAACACAATGACGACAGGGTGAGTTCATATTGACTTGATTTGGTCACACCTACTCACATGGAGACAGGAGGTCAAGTCCCCTGCAATGAAGGTACGCCCTGCCTGCTTTGCCATCAAACAATTCAAGGATGGGAAGACAGGACAGAAGAAACCGTTTGAGGACGAACTGCGCAACCTGATTAAGTTCACGAACTCCAACAATGATCACCTGATCAAAGTATCGGCTACGGTTGAGAAAGCGTACTGCATATTCTTCCCATGGGCTCAGGGCGGAAACCTCCACGACTTTTGGGAGAAACATGGTCCATTAAACCTGCCACGGTCAACGGATGTTTTCTTGTGGGCGCTGGAACAGCTGACAGGTCTGTCGCACGCATTAGAAGCAATTCACACTCAGAACTGTCGACATGGAGATCTAAAGCCGTCCAATATCCTCCATTTTATGGAGGGGCCTTCCCTCGGTACCTTGAAGATCGCCGATTTCGGCGTCTCCAGGATTCACAAGAATGCAACCGGCTTGAGGCACGAAGCAACTGATACCAAGGCTTCGACCAAAATTTACGAAGCTCCGGAGGCGATCGAGCGTATTCGCAGCCTAGCACCTCGGTCGCGGAAATATGACTGCTGGTCAATGGGCTGCGTCATGCTGGAATGCGTCATATGGCTTCTCTACGACTTCAAAGCCGTGGCTAGCTGCCAGATAGCACGAGGGGGTTACCAAACCTACTACCAAGAGCTTGACGACGCCAATCGAACCAGGAATGACATCGAAGATCGCGTTCAGGTCCATCCCGTGGTGTTGCATACAATTCAGGCTCTATCACACCACCCCAGATTCCCTCATTCCCCTCTACAGACTATCATCAGAATTGTGGAACGCAAGTTGCTTAAGGTCAAGCCTGAGGAGCGCGTGTCGGCGGAATTATTGCACGGGAAGCTAGTGGCCATATCTGCAGACGCCCGGCGAGATTCGTCTTCTTTCGAACGACCAGTACCTCCAACATTGGATGTACCTGATATATTCTGCTACGAAGCATCTTCGGAACAGAGGCCCAAGCCGACGTATGAAGTTACACGGGGGAGTAGCGGATGATGAGGGTGGGCCTAAGTCTAACAAACCACGTGAGGCTGTCAGAAAAACATGCCATTTGCCAAGGAGGGAGTTCTCTAAACAATATCATGACTTGTTTTGCCATTTTGTTTTGTTTTGCCACATGGATTCCGGAGTTTTGGACTGATTTGGGACATCGATACCCCAAAGGAAGTCAGGAAGGAGGTTGAACACCGCTCAACTTGGAGCATAGGGAGTTTTCAGTGTTCACCATTGATTGCCGGGGTGCACCACGTCTACCAAGCTGATTTGTTCCCACTGTATGTATGATCATCTCTATCTCATCAATATTGCAATATGCAACTATCACAATGGAGCTGAAGTGTTGAAGAGACTGCATTGCTCGGCCAGACACGTTTTCCGAAGATTAAGGGACTAGGCGCTATCCTCCTAGATGTAGTGATATCACGGCTAATGCGCTATCGGGAAACCCTTTGGGTAGTTTCGGCAGACTTTGGTCTCCACCTATCTTCCCTAGTCGGGAAACTTCATGCCTTCATATCGTGATATTGAGATAAGGCGTTCTAGTGCTATTGGAAATGCGGTCGTTTTAGGGTAAAATACGGACTGCCCTCAGGCGATGCGCATCCTCTCTCACTGGGTACCAACGGCTATTCCCGGCGAGCGATCTCGTTCTCGGTGTCAATAATGGAGCCTTTCAGATATTTTCAACTCTGGTGGGTCCATAATGATATACAAGAGAATGGCTTTATAAGTGACGCCTGTGGCTGTTTCAAGAGAGGTGTTCAAGATGATAGCGTTCAAAGCCATCGTACACTCAAAGTGGCCTCTTGCCGAGCATTATGGCGTCCTCTCGTTCGTCCTCACCTCCTCCCTGGCTGCCCGATGGCTTCAGGAACAAGGAATACATAACAGAAACACCTTCCGACTCGTCCATATTCGAACAATCCCGGCCCATCGACACTGAAAAGAACGAGGCCCCGATAGAAGCCGGAACAAAAAGAGGCTCGGCCGTTGAAATCGACTCGCCCCCGCCGGACGGTGGCAGGGCAGCTTGGCTGCAGGCCTTGTCTGCCCATCTAGTCATCATCAATACATGGGGGACAATCAACTCCTTTGGCATCTTCCAATCATACTACATAGAGTCTCTGCCCAACTCTGCTTCTGACATTAGTTGGATTGGCTCGATGCAAGTCTTCATCTTGTTTGTGGTCGGCATCTTTACCGGCCGCTTGACGGACGCGGGATACTTCCGCACTGTCCTGGCTGTAGGCTCGGCGTTTGTAGTGCTTGGGAGCCTGATGGCATCCTTCTCCACCGCGTACTGGCAGCTGTTCCTCTCCCAGGGCATCTGCATTGGCCTTGGCATGGGTGGCCTCTTTTGTCCTGTGATGGCTGTTTTGTCGACTTACTTTAGTCGCAAAAGAAATCTGGCTATTGGCATCGCCATCAGCGGCTCGGCCACCGGAGGCATGATCTACCCAGTTATGGCACGCCAGCTCCTCTCTAAGATTGGATTTGCGTGGACTATGAGGTCGATGGCTGTGGTACAACTGACTACGCTGCTTGTCGCGAACATTTTGATGCGTTCCAGGATTCGCCCACGGCGTTCCGGACCATTGGTCGAATTGTCAGCGTTCAAGGAAACGCCATATACTTTGTTTACCATCGGCATGTTCTTTGTAAGTCATAGTGTCTCTATCCAGTGCCGGGCTATTTCATTTCTCACGCTGTCTAGAACTTTTGGGGCGTTTACTTCGCCTTTTATTAGTAAGCAGCCGATATTCTCCTTTCATGACTGCGCGGCTTACAGACGGTAGCATTGGCACTTTCAGCCGAGACGTCTTGTCTTTCCAGTACAACACTTCGGTTGATCTTCTTATGATCATGAATGGTGTAGGAGCGATCGGACGCGTTGTTCCAGGGTTTCTTGCCGATATCTATCTAGGCCCTCTCAACGTCGTCACACCAGCAGCGCTCATTTGCATGGTTCTCCTGTACTGCTGGAATGCCATCAACAGTCGAGCCGCATTGTACTGCTGGGCTGTACTCTACGGTGCGTATAATGTGACATACAACGAAAGCTTGATCACCAGATGCTAACGTTCTATACTTTACAAACAGGCATATTTGGCGCAACCGTTCAGGGCCTTTTTCCCGCCGCGCTATCTTCGCTGACAACGGATCTCCGAAAGGCTGGGACGAGAATGGGCATGGTGTACTCAATCATCAGTTTTGCAAATCTAACTGGCCCTCCCATCGCAGGCATGCTCATAAAGCAAGGGAATGGCGAGTATAAGTATGCCTTTGCATTCGGCGGCACATGTATGTGCCTTGGGACGCTCTTCCTGATTGCATGTCGAGTCTTCAAGGGAGGATTTGGCTTAGCAAAAGTTTAAGATCTTTATAAAGCATGCTTTTAAACAATTTTGTTACGCTGGGGGGCAACAGAAGGTCCCCTACAAAAAGAGCTGGAGGCGAATTGATCTTGGCCATTGTGGATAGTGTGTCATTGGATAACACTCAATCACAGTCTTAGCCAGCACAATGTTCTCTCTGTCTGATGCACTAGTGGGTCGTTTCTTTTGCAGATATTTGAATGAACGTCGTCAATCATGATAGAGATGTGGCGTGGAAACAAAGTCTCGGGAAACTCTGCGCCCATCGGGAAACTGATATCTTCGTCCCCACTGAACAAGCCCGACGACGAGATAACGCCAAATCCACGAGCCCCAAAGCCCTGGCGGGACCCAGAAATGGGAACCGAGCGAGGTAGTCACAATCTTGACGGAGATCGACTCTTGAGGAGCAGTGTTCTCTACTGAGATATACAAGACATCATAAACTCCTTGGTAATTTCTTTGTCCCTATCCCGTTCTGTAAGAATCATGTCTAAAAGTTTGTTTACATCGTGAATGACACTCTTTTCCAGGTTTCAATGAACGCCTCTACGTCGTCAAGCAGTTCCTTTGGCTTTTCCATCGGCTGGAGGCTATTAGTACAGATCGCTAGCCACAGAATCGGGAGCTTTTTACGTACCGCAAAATGACCACCTCCATCATGCTGATTGAACGAAATCAAGTTGCAGATCTTCATGGCCCAACTCTTCGGGCCGGGCACAATCTCGTTCAGAAACAAGGAATACCCGCACGGTTTCTCGATAAAAGGGAGCTTCATAGGCTGAAACCCAGTGATCTGTATTTCAAATTTAGCTTCAATGATCCCTGCATTGGGGCATGAACGTCAACTCACCACACTGAGCCTTGCAATTCTGGGGTCATCGGTCGCACGGCCCCCTAGCTATTTTTGTCCAAGTAAGCTTTTGGTCTACTCAAGATGAAGGCGAAGTGGCGGGGGAGGCCTACCGCACGATTGTGGTAGAATGACCGCGAGATCGTATCGGTGAGATAGTACAACGTCACCCCTTCGAGGATCTTTTCCAAGGGCGGATCCTCATCGGTCCATTCGAGTTTCTTCTCTCCAACCCTACACACAAATCAGCACTCAGATCACTTTGTGAAAACGATATACGTGAACACCACTTACCAGCTAAGCAGTGCCAAGGGGCTAGAGCTCAGGACCAGACCGAGTGTGGATGGCCTCGTGCCCTGCTCCAAGAAGAAGCCAAACGATGTATCGGTGAATTCATTCGCCTTCTGTAATGCCCGCTCCTCCTGTTTGTCTGTCGAATGCCCCTCTAAATCGTCCGGCGAAGGAGGCACCATCGTATTCAAATGCATGCCTTTGCACTCGTCGTGGGTCATGACGAGAATCCTGCTGATGAAGCTGCCCAGATCTCCACCCTGGACGAGATAGCCGGAGCCAAATCCCAAGCCCATCATGAGACTGTGCATGGCACTAGCAGCCACATCTATGCCGTAGTCCTTGTCGAGCGGGAGGCCTGACGAGTAGGCATAGCCTGGAAGCGAGGGCACAATGACATGGTACGGCAACTCGGCCGGGGAATATCGCTGCTTTAGCAGATCCAGGATATCCATAAACTCGCAAATGGAGCTCGGCCATCCGTGGAAGAAGGCAAGCGGGACGGCGTCGGCCCTCTCAGAGAAGAGCGCCAGGAATTGGACATCGATAGTGTTGCCCTGGGAGTCCTTGACTTCGGCCTTGAAGTTGGGGTATGAATTTATGCGGTCTTCATGCTTGCGCCAGTCGAAATCGTTTAGCCAGACATCCTTGGCATGGACCAGCCAATCCCTGGTAATGCCATAAGTGCGACCAACGCTGGTGTTCTCGTAGACGGCGGGTCCGATGGGCGAGAGCTCCAGTAGTTTCTTGAATTCCTCGAGCTTCTCGTCTGAGATGTAGGCTTTGAAAGGCCGAATGCTGAGAGTTGCAGCGGTGGGAACTCTTGCATAATCAGCCATGACGACGGTGGAGTCGGATGAGATGGAAACGAGTCTTGGGATGAGGCTTCCGAATTTGGTTGCTTGACGATTTGGTCATGTCCTCGCGATGATTGTTCATGTCCTGCATCTATCTGCAATATACAATGCTGATTTTATAGGAAACGCCTCCCTGCCTGGGAGTTTGGCCATCTTAGGCAAAACGATGTTATTCAGGACTTAAGTGCTCCTAAGTCCAGTGGTACAACCTCGGCCGGCAGAAGCCAGCTATGATTTACATTGGACCCGGCCGCCCTGATCCCAAAGCAGGAATGCTTGAACACCTCCACGTCGATAATACTGGTCTCTTCCATAGATTTCCACAGCGCGGCTGAGTGTATTCCATATATTCTTTGCACATCTTGTTGCATTGTCGAGTCCCAACTTTTTTATCTACCAAAACACAACTAGTCTGTCTGCGTCCCAGATGTGTACGGATCAGGCTGATGGTAGACAGTGATCAGTGATGAAGGCTGGTCCCCGTGAAAACAATGCCTGATTGGCTGTCGAGGCTGATCTCCATATTTCCTCCCGTCGATCAAGCTTATCTAACGACGCACTTTGCACTGTTACGCCCTGGCCTAGCCGGAGATTGCGGACATTGCCTGCACGGACTTAATTATTGCTTGCTGGCGGCATGCCCATATGGCAGGTTATGTCCGCATACGACTCAAAGCTCATGGTGAACAGCTCAATACAAGGTGAGACCCCTAAGCCTGAACTCCGGGTGCTGAAGGAAACCTTGATGCATGATTCCGTGCACATACGCCATGCCGACGAGCTGGTACATGCCTGCCCGGCCCCGTCCCGATCCGGGCCTCAGAATGGCCGGGATGTGGCATCCGCCCAGAATCCACACCTCATCGCCGGGCTGCGTGTAGATTGGCGCGGCACAAAACAAGCCCTCTGTTGTGGTCTTGGCGTATCTCACACGCAGAATATCCAACGGGCCCCATTTGGTCGAACCGACATCAGTGACTGGAGGAGCCGCCTCCCATTCCTATCTTGACTTGCCGCTGAACGCCTTAAAGAATACCGATTGAGCCTGTAGGTCGTCCGGATTTTGTGCTTCTGGGACGCTTTTGCTTTTCTTTCCTGTGCTTGCTAGCAGCGAGCGATGAAAATACCGAAATCCTCGATCCAAGCTTGAAGTCAGATCAGCACTGGCTGTTCCCGGGCTACCATGGTGGCAGATGGTCTGCCATGCTGCATCGATCTTGGGCTGTCTCGTATACGGATACCTCATATTTCGCGAGTCCGGATCATCAGTACAGAGAAAGAACTCGATTGCCTCTCTGCACATGGTCACTGGGTTTGGCAGGTCATCATCATCGCTAACGAGGACGTTGGTGACCCTGTCCACATACGCCCCAATGAGGCGGAGATGATCTCCTCGATGATCGATTTGAAGCCGGGCTGAAACTGGACCACAGGCAAGGAACCTGTCATCCATCAACAACGGATGTCTCCTGAAACCTACCCTTGTAAAATTCGGCATCCAGCTCGGGAGACAGTTATCGCATTTGCCCTGCGAGCAGTTGTCGCAAGTCACTCCATGTATCCCAGCGACACATAACGCCTTGATGCCTTCCGAAGCGGTAAGAAAGTGCCGTCCGAAGCGCCGAATGATGACGGATATTGGACTTCTGTAGTCTGGCGCCAGTTCCCCAAGAAATGCATCTGAAGACATGGCTAGGAGGGCAAAGTACCGATCTCTCGGATTGCCCACCTTGCGGTAGGAGTATCTCTGGATATTGGTGATCAGAGGTTCCCTCGTGAACTCCTGGTCGTGCTTGTAGCGCTGCGTGCAGAGGCTTAGATACGGCCAGTTCTGCATCACGGTGCCGGCATTGGTCCTGTCCGTGGTACGAAGGAGCGCAGTCATGAGTGACTTCCAGTCAAAACACTCTCGGCCCAGGAGCAGGGCAACCCGGCTAGCCAGGAAGAACTCCTGCACAACCCAGAGGCGGCCGAACCAGGGCCGCGTCAGGAGCTGGAGAAGGGCCACGCGACACTCGGCACGAGCCTCGATGGTCCAGGCCCAGTCGGTCCTGGCGCTCTTCATCACTTTCATCGCCTCAAAATCACCGTCATCAGTAGCTTCTCCGAGGTCACAGATTACCCGGGCAGCAAGAGAATAGATGTCCGCCATCATCCCGATCTGACTCTCTTTCTCTTCCAAGTCCACCTGGTTAATACAGATCGCATCAGCCCATATGAATCGCTCCACGTCCGTCTTTCTTAAGCGCGTGAGGCCAGAGAAGAGCGATTCAGTGATGGCGATGGTGCCTGATGAGGTGCTCAGGACTCTCGGCTTGTCTTCCTTGCCCCAGGCGTACGACAGGGCCTCGTAGTTCGCTGGTGAGCGACTAGGAGGGCGATCGTCCACCTCATTGGCCTTGACTCTCGTCACATAGTGCAGATTGAGCAGCGTGAAATCACCCCACAGCACGGAGCCATGGTCGACAGCTGGAAGCAAGCGGAAGACTCGAATGTATCCAAAGCGCAGAGGGCTGTACTCGTACAGAGTCATGTAGTTGAAGGGGAATCTTCACTTGGCCTAAAACTTTTGCGTCTGACTCGTGATCGTGAGAAACCGTCATTCATGCGACAATTTCGACTTGTCTCGAGGAGTCAGCTGAGGCGATTTCGGCTCGAATTTACCGTTGAATGTGCCTTGCAGTCAGCCAATGGCGGCGCAGCCATGGCAACATGTTGAGTGGCATTGTTCTAGCGCGTGCCGATTGGGAGTAGACCCAGTCATTTTCCGTGCTTCAAGACCTCGGCCATTACTTCTCCAAGCTGAGGCATCGGCCATCTCCAAGACCATCGAATAGGCCGCTTAGCAGGTAGCGATAATACCAAGAATCTGACGCTCCATGCCATGTTTCAAGCGCTCGTCACTCGGCTTGAGCGTTTTCCAAGCTGGCCTCAAGCCCAAAGCATGGAACAATCGAAGTGAGGGTCTGCCGATCTTCACAGGGCAATGTGTACACTCC